CCGTAGAAGCTGCAATGCCACTGCCTGCAACAAAAGATTGAAGTTTCCATGGCATTGCCATGGGTTTAGCAGGGTTTTTAGTCCATGGGTATTAAAAATTAATGACTACTAATAGAAGATTAAACACTCAATGGGGAACTCTGTAGTTTTATAAGGGCCTGTTTACTTTCATTTCTGTTTCCTGTTTTTGAGAAAAAAGATGTTGAAAACAGGTGAAAACAACATTTTGTCGTTTTCGAAAACAGCAGGAAGTTGCCACTTTCTGTTTTCATAGTTGGAAACGAATAGAAAACAGAATGAAAAGTAAACAAGTTTTCTCATTTCGGTTGCCAAATTTATCACATGAAAACAGAAAACAGGAAACGAAAATGGAAGTGAACAGGGCCTAAGGTTTTTGCCATTGGATTACCAATTTACAGTCACCATTGTTATGCATTCATTAGTTGTTGTCATGGATTTACAAGGTTGCTCGTGTCCATCCATTTTAAGTTTCATGTGTTCAATTTTTTTTCATGGTTATATGATTATGTTATTGTTTCGGAAAGTTAAACCTGGAGTACTTACATTACATGGACCTATTGATGTTAAACCTGGAGTACTTACAACAGTACCACTTCATCATCACAGCACCCTTATGGTAGTGGGAGCTCGCACTAGCAACAACTACGTTTCATGACATCACAGCCTCATCGTCGCCCACGTTCATGTGAGTTTCTAACCCTTCCTGGTTCCTTCAGTTGCTTCTGTGTTTTGGATGTTCTCTTGGATTTGCTTCTGTGGAAGGGGGTCTTCATATTCATGCTTCTGTGGATTTGCATTTGTGTTTTCCCCTATAGTTTTTTTTTGTTTGGATTTTTTATATGTGTCATCGGATTATCTATTCGATGGAAGGGAGTTGTTTTAAGAGTCTCATTGTATACACCATCATGACAATTTGTTCTCAAACTTTTCTATGCCTTACAGTATACAACGACTAATGGTTTTTTTTTTTACCTTCATCTTCTTTTTTATCTCTGTTTTGCAAGCAGCTTCTCTAGAGCAAGCATCTAACAAGCATATCCAGACTTTTTTTTGTTTCTTCTTCTATGATCATAGGAGGATCAGGAAAGTAAAAGCTAGAGATGACGGAATATGGAAATGGCCAAATGTGAGTACAAACAACTTTAACATCCAACATTTCTTTATTGATGTTTCAGGTTTAATTCGGCTGTTCTTACACCTTTCTCCATCCCTTGATAGTTTTCCTTTTCCCGTCAACTGTTTCGATTCTATTGAGTAACCATTAAATGATGGTGAGTAGCCCATTTAGGTATACCTTGCTTATTTTTCCTTCTGGGTTTATCTATTGTGAATGAGCTAATGGTCCTGCATTTTTCAAGCTTTGTGATAAGCAATTTCCTCTTACATTTCATTGGTATGTTGAAGTTGTTCTAAAATGGTGTCTTTTAGTTTTATGTTCTTTTCGCTGGTGGGGGTCTGGTAGGGTGTGAACCAAGTATTTGGCTCATAAAAGACATAATATTTCATAACAGAGAAGCCAGATACCTGGAACTTGCTTAGGCTATTGGATCATGGTTTTGAAGCCTATCTTTGACCATATGTTCTTTCATTCTTTAGTCTGGAGAGCTGGGAACTAATGGATACCCTTGATAATGTTGTTTTTGTTGGGGTTTCGTCTCCTTATTCATAATGCTTTTTGCAGGTATCTCTACTTCTACGAGAAAGTAAACCAGCACATAACAGTGGATGTAGTCAACAGTCTAATTAAACTGATCACTACTGAGATGCAGCAAAATGACTCCAGTTCTAGTGCACTAGACCCTGCTGCTGAGGCTTTCCTTGCCAGCACACTACCATAAATTCAGTTCCAGAAATAGAAAGGCGGTACAATGGGCGAAAGATACCCTAAGTTAGCTGCTTATATATTGTCTTGAAAAAGATTCTCAGACAGTAGTCACCCTAAGTTAGCTGGTTATTACCTTATGTTAGTAAAATGGTATTGTTTTCATGAATATGATTTTCATCCTTGTGGTGAAGCATAAACATGGGAGCCTACAGATTTTGGTTTATTTGTGTATCTGTTTTGTAGTAAAAGCAGTAGGATCTCAAGAGGAGCTTCATGATTTAATGGTGAATCATGAACCGAGATGATCAATCATGGATGCATGGGAACTTAGAAATCTGTAATTCCACTTATTAGTATCGGCAGCAACATCTCTGCATATGGAGGTGACTCTAACAGGTGAGTAATGGATTCGTTTTTCCTCGGATTGGTATGCTATTTACTTGGTGAGACCCATGGATTTGTGATTGTCAAAAATGGTTTTGTTCAATGAAAGTCTTGAACCAACCAGAAGACTAATGGATTCGATTCCTTTTCCCTTTTACTTCTTTTTTTTTAGATAATAAATCTTGATAATTTTATAAATAGTATTTGGTTTAAAACAAATCTCCGGTTGGGCCATCCGAAGCCGGCGATGATTGGGGTTAAGGAATGCACAGAGCAAGACCCTAGGTTACTAATTAGTACTTGAAATTTGCCTCTGCATCTGCTCAAGGAGTACAAAGGCAAGCTAGCCAAAGTTGCAGGAAGCAACAGTCCTCCAAGGCAGTTCTACGTTTATGCCCTCTGTGGCTTCGTCAGAGCTCAGGTATTCTAGCTCCTCATTTCATATTGATAGGGTATCTGCTTATTTGTATGCTATCTAAGGTAGTTTAGTTGACGGTTGTTAGCTCTTAAAGAATCTAGGTCTTTCAGGCTGATAATCTAGGGTTAGGAAACCAGATTATTGTAAAGATCCGGGGGAATGAAATTGTGGTTCCAAAGAGCTTGAAACTAGGAGGACTGTTGCTTTGAAGAAGATTGGTTTTGACTCTGGTTTACTTCCCATCTACCCTGCAACATATACCTAGTGTTTGAATATATGGAGCATCACATTGCTGGACTGCTTTCTTGCCCGGATGTCAGGTTTGCCAAGTCACAGGTTAGTTCCCATTTTATGTCATTGGTGAAGAAGCTTTTGAATTTTGAAGTTCTACCATATGTATTTATGTTGTTTGTTATGTTTTTATTCTCCCCCTCTACAGATCAAGTGTTCCAAAGGTGGAATGGCAAATCAAAGATACGCGAAGTAGTTCGTGTGGCCTTTAGGTCCTCTTCTTATTTTTTTGAAATAGTAGGCTGATTCTTAGTGATAATTTGGTGTAATTGTGATTTTGGTTACTAAACAATAAATTGTGAACTATAATTTTAGTTGGTAAACAATTTTGTTATATGAAATAATCTTTTAGTATAATTCTATTAATTTTTAATATTTTCATTTTAGTGACCCAAATCTCATCTACCAAATTGGTCATATGAAATGAATTTTTTGGTCGGCGTATGTGTTTTCCGCAACCAATTCTTATGGTAGAATTTAACTTTTATAACCATAAGAATTAGTCGTGAAGGGTATGGTTGGTCACCATTCATATATTTTACAACCAATTATTATGGTTGTGTTAAATATTTCGAACTAATAAAATTAGTTACCTAAAACAATATGATTGGTCGTCATATGGATTTTTAACGACCAAATTTTATGGTTGCAAAAATATAAAGCCAGTTTGAGCATGAAGGTTTGGTTGCATTTAACTTTTATAACCATAAGAATTAGTCGTAAAGGGTATGGTTGGTCACCATTCATATATTTTACGACCAATTATTATGGTTGTGTTAAATTTTTATAACTAATAAAATTAGTTACCTAAAATAATATGATTGGTCGGCATATGGATTTTTTACGACCAAATTTTATGGCTGCATAACAATTCAATAACTAAAATGATTAGTTGCCAAAAATGATATGATTGGTTGACATATGTGTTATGACAACCAATTTTTAAGGTTATGTTAAACTTTCATAACCAATTCTATTGGTCACCAAAATGGTTTAATTGGTTGAGATATTTGTTTTTCACGACCAATTGTTATGGTTGTGTTAAACTTTTTATAACAAATATAGTTAGTCGTCCAAAATGATATAATTGGTCGGCATATGTGTTTTTCACGACCAAATTTCATAGTTGTGTGAAATTTTCGTAACCTAAACAATTGGTTGTTGTAATGATATAATTGGTTGACATATGTTAATTTCCCAACCAAATTGAATGGTCACCTATAAAACATACGTAAATTCTATTTGCGACCAAAAAAATAGGTTACTAATAGCCAAATCAAATTGGTTGTCATTTTTATTTTTCGCGACCAATCAATTATATTTCCCAACCATTAAATTGGACTATGACAACCAAATTAAAATGGTCGCGAAAAAGTAGGGTTTTTTACCATTGGCAAATTTGGTTGCGAAAGCTTTTTTTTGCTACTAATCCACATTTTGGTTGCGTTAGGAATTAGTAACGTGGCTATAGCGACCAATGCTGCTACCAAAATATTTTGGTCGCAAAAAGGTATTTATAACCAATTTTTGATCTTTAGGAACCAATTTTATTAGTTGAAAAAGCCATTTTTCTTGTAGTGATTCCTCCTCTACAATTTCAACTAGTCTTATACCAATTCGATTCAATTCTGAAGTATGATCATTGATCAGTTCACCTTTGAAATGATCAGTTAATCGATCCAACTACAACTCTTCCAAAAAATGGATAGAAGAGAACCACTCCTTTTAAATGAATATACTATTAGCTAGAAACTTCAGTCTCACTTTACTTTTCCCCCACTCCCCCTTTTGCCTTTTGCATGAATTGTAAGCACTTTGCTAGATATGCCCGCCGCACCATCCCTCCACGTTGTGGGACTCCGCTCCGCTCCAATATGGCAAACGCGCATAACCCAACTCTGCATGCGCTATCTTCTCCTTTGGCTTCCTTTCTCCTTTTCTATTGAAGAAAGAATCATCGATTGAGAACAAAATTCTATTTACTGAGTAATTACACAGTCTCTCTCTCTCTCTCGCTATGGTCTTATAAAACCCACCATTGTTCACTCCCCCTCTGAGCCACAAACACAGTTCCTTCCTCATCAAACCCATCTCCATCTCTCCACACACACACACACACACAAAAAAACCCTAAACCCTAAAATACAAGCTAGAAAGAGCACTCTCCTCCTCCCATAAAAATCGTTAGGATTCCATCATATCATCGATCATGGCCGGACAGTACTTCAGAAACAGGAACAAATACTACAACTCATACTACTGGGAATTTCTCTCCAACTTGTTGGCCATGCCACTCCACTTCTTCTTCTTCATCTCGATACTCCTCTCCGTCGTCGTTTTCACGTGGTACGTCAACTACGAGTCAGCTTTTGAGGAAACGGTGAACCAGGTGAAGCTGTTCTTCATGCTCTCCCCGCTCATTCTGCTCCTCCTCCTTCACTTCCTGTCGCCGTCGACGACCTCCGACGCCAACAGCAGAAACAAGGGCTGGTTCGGCCGGTTCTTCGTCCCCTACATGCCGGAGAGGGATTCCCTCCACCGTGCCGGCGGGTCGCCGTGGGGGGTGGCGCTGTTGCTTGTCTTCCTTCTCTTGATGATCTCTCACCAGTCTTCTCTCCATGAACGCTGGTTCCCTTTGGTCACCAGATGCTCTTGAGTAATGCATGATAGATGGAGGCCGAATCTCTGCTTTTTCTTTAGCGAGGAGACATTGAGAGAGGATACATATATGTATGGCAAGTATACATACGGAGCCCAACGCAAATAAAGTGAATGGCAATGTTATGCATCTATACGTAACACAAAAGTTGAACTGTAAAGCGTCATGTGCATCTATCACGGAAGTCGTTTTGTTGGATGTAATTTGGAGTATGGAATTCGTACGTACTAGCATGTAATCAAAGAATTTCATCGTTCCTTTAGTCGAGTGCAAATACAATCACAAATGAAATCAAAGTTGTATTGTAATAATATTTGTTCACATACTTCGAGATACAAAGTACTTGAAAATTCTCACTATAAAAATAGTTCTCAAATATAGTTTTGTCACTTTTTTAATATAAGTTTCAACATGAAAGTACTTGAACAAGCAGCATTTCCGCTAATACATCTCATAGAACTCAAATAATTCATACAATCTGATCAATTCCGCGGACAAAAATTTCTCTCTATCATAGTGAAATACCACAAAAAAATAATTCTCTCTCTATCAAAGTAAAATACCACACACAATATTATCTCTATTTTTCTCTCATTCCCTGTTCCGTCAGTCTCGTCGTCAATGGATCTCAAATCTTGTGATGGATTACTGTATTTATTTGTTTTCCCTGTGTTTGCATTTCACGTTCTTATGTTCTACCTCTACATTGCTCTATTTTTTGTCTTGAGAAGGGTTATCAGGTCTTCATAATAAAAAAAAGGAAGAAGAAAGTTTGTGATTCGTGGGGATGTTTAAGAAAAGAATAGTGATAGAAAGTCAAGTTTGAATCCAAATAGGCAGTCCAAAATAAAATAACCAATGAACCCACATGAGTTAAAAAAAGTTATGAACTTTCAAAGTTTGGCAAAATAGAAAAATTGTTCGTTCGAAGTAACAAACGATTTTTGTTTTTTTTTTTTTTTGGATGAAGTCTTGTTACAGATTGAAAGATCTTGAAAAGTTATGCAGGATCAAAAAAAATTTCGCTACAATGGATGACCGAGCGCAAAGTTACGTTCGTTTGAAGTTTCAGTGTTAGGTAAGGCATTCACCGCTTTCGTCTACCGCAGTGAATGCATTCACTTGGATTGACGACCGCAATGATGCCCAAACATGTGTATTTTGGGAAAAAAAATTAAAAAACATGTGTATTTGGAGATTTTTTCCAATAATTACATACATATGTATTTATTTACATATTATACCCTTGAATTCTTAAATCACAGCCTTTGTATTAGGCAGTCTTGACCAATAATAAACTTCATGGCAACCCACTCAGAGCCCTCCTAGGTATACTCCTAGGGACCTAGCCTACTCTTTCCACTTTGTAAGTTGCATAAAAAGGAGAAAACCTAACCGCCTCCTTTCAGGCACGCAATTGGCCTAACCGCCTAATTCCGCCCTACGGCCAAGACAAAAAAAAAATTACGCCCACCGGCCATTGCAAACCGCAGACAATTCACATTCGGGAAAAATTCAATCGTGCAACGCCGCCGTTTCTTCTCACTTATGTTCTCTCGGCTCCACGAAGATTCTTTCGTCTTCCAATCTCGATCTTGTTCACATTTCACTAAGCTTTGATTCTCCACTTTCAAAGTCACAGATGTCGACTTTCCTTTCCCACTTTCCCCAAAACGGACAAACTACAGCTGCGTCTCGAAGTGAATCCCACAACTGAGTGGGGCCTTTCGTCATCTTACTTCCCGCGATGTGACACGTGCCTTTCCTCATCCAATCCCGTCCAGCTTGAACCCCTCCTTCGTTCTCCCCAAACGGCGCCATCCGGCCGGGAGAAAACCAAATAGTGGTCAAATTCAAACTTAACCCATGATTTATCACTTTTCATTCCGTTTCCCCAGCTCCAACCATGTTGAATCCTTATGATAATCATCATCGGAGCTCCCTGTGGTATTCCCATCCAACAGATCTACTTTCAAGTCTGATCCTCCCTCCTTATCCTGACGTCGTATAGGATTCCTCCCCCGTCGATCCTCCTTTTCTCCTCCCTCCACCTCCGCCTCTTCCTCCTCCGCTGTCGCAGCCTCTTCCACATCTCTCCTGATACGCTTCACGCCGATCGATACTACAAACAGCCTCGGGCTCAGATCTGCCAGCTCAGGTGCCACCGTCGTTGCGGGCATCAAGTCCAGAGGCTTACCTTCAGATGGGGAGGGGTTGTCCTCGCTCACGCTGTCGTTGGCCTGGCCGGAGGACGCGTAGTTCGTCATCAGCGAGACGACATTGTTGCAGAAGCCTTTCAATTGAGTCATCTCGTGGTTCAGCTGCGTGTTCTCCTTCCTCAGCCTCTCAATCTCCTCCAAAAGCTTTGGCGTCGTCGTGCAGCTCGTCGTCCGCGGGATTGCATTCGCCGCAGGCGAGGACGTGGATGAAATCACCTGCTCCTCTCCGGAATTGGAAGGGGAGATGGTGCTCACAACCGTCAGAATCGCGGCCACCTTCGCTGCCGCTATCGGAGAGGAGGCAGCAGCAGCGACAGCAATTTTACGGCATTGGATGTCCCAGAGCAAAGCTTTCTCTCCTCTCTTGAAGCGATCGTTGGCGAATTCCCATCTGGCACCACTTTCCTGAATCCCTACAAATCTAAATGCCAATTCAGAATTCGCTCTTCTCATAGGGAGAAAAATTGCTCAAAGGGGAGAGTGAGCTTACTTATGTATTCAGCTAGCGAACGAAGCTGGAGAAATTGTTGTGTTTGAAGTAGTTAGGTAGCAGGTCTCTCGCGAACTCGGCGGGACGCCAGACGATGAACGCGGATCCATCTTCGTTCCACAAAATCATATCATCGACGGCCAGATCGTCGACAAGCTAGTAGGTTTTGATGAGAAAAGGAGTGGGGATAGATCTCTGCGAATTTGCAGTCTCTCATGTTTCTCCACCGGCGCCTCCACCGTTGCTGCCACTGCCACTTGCGGCAGCGCCGGGAACAAGACGTTCTAATTTGAATAGGAACAACAAGTTAACGTCTGGATCCCTAGAAAGATCAAGGAAACGTTCAGTAATTTAAAAAAGGTACCGCGTAAAGAGAATCAAAGTTAAAAAAAATTGTACCAAATAAGAACAGAGGAGATTCAACTCGGCACGGGAGGTCGGTTTCCTAATCCTTCAGAGCTTTGGATAGCAGCAGCGATTAATAAGCAGAAAGAGGAGGCTTGCTAGTGCGAGACCAACGACTTTACCATGGAATTTTCTTAGCGACCAAACAGGGAGGAGATATTGAATCCAGAAGGAGAAGCAACAGTTGGGCAAAAGGATAGACAAGGTGATGAATCTCTTGCCAAATTTCAAACACAGAGAGAAGGAAAGGAAAGAGAGCGGGGCAGGTCTGTTTTTGTTGTTTCTAGAAGTTTCGGCCTTGATCTAAATGGACTAATGGAGTAATTGATAAGGTGGCCAGTGGGGAAAGAGAGAGAAGAAGTTGGGGTCTTCAAGAAGTAAGGTTGTCAAACCCCTATCGGACCCCCGGTTGGACACGGTTCGATCTAAGTTAGGCTTCAAAACGGCCTTCAGAAAGCCCTCATGTCTGACCCCTAAAGAGAGAGAAGAAGAGAGGAGGAATGAAGGAAGGGAGATGGTGGGTGGGTGGGTCATGAATGTTAGGTAGATTTAAGCTGTGGAAAATAAGTTTTTAATACATACATGTAAGATAATTTCATTTCAGTCATTAAATCTATAATTATTGTCTTATTTATATATATATTTAGAAAACGTCTACAACGACTCAAACCGGCCAGACCCCGATCAGACTATTAAACCTCAAACCCTCTTGCTTGACCAGCTCAACGACTTAAACCGGTTTGACAACCTTGTCGAGAAGAGAAAATGGGAAATGGAAATAAAATGAAAATAAAAATGAGGAAAATAGTAGGAAAACGGGACCCACACGTTAGATAGAGAGAGAATAAGAAGGGGCAAGAGAGAAGGGCCACGTATTCGTCTGTGAGTGGGCTATGAGGGATGTATTTTCTTGTTTCCTTACTCTAAGGTTCTCTCTTCTTCTTCTCCTATACCATTTCTCTATCTCTTTCTTGTTGTCACTCAATCATCAAGAATCCTAGGTCAAAAAGAGAAACGACGGCGTCGAAAATGTGGACTTTTCCTTCCCTTTTTTCCCCTCACCTTTTTAACTTATACAACGGTAGACAAACATTTAATTTTGGGTGTTTGCCTGCAACTAGAGGTGGAAATCGGTACGGTATTGGTATCCCAATATCAAATACCGAAATCTCGAATACCGAATTACACCCTAAAATCAATCACAATCTCAATCCCTAAATAATTTCGGTATCCCAATCTCAATCTCTAAATATTTCGGTAACCCAATCGATACTCAATCGGTATTATCGAATACAAAATTAATTACCTTTGCAATTAATAATTAAATATATAAATTAAATTTTATTGTTTAATTTAGGACAGAGACTAAGCAAAGAGTCTAGAGTTGTCTAGAGCTAACATCTCAAGTTCTTGTAATTGATAATCTTTAATTTGACGAATTTGACGTTGAGAGACGACTAATACTAGTGTGAAATAGTGATGTAATGATCTAGTGTGACTAGGACGAGACACGTAATCGAGACAGACGAATCAAAATGGAGATGGTGAGGTGCTAGGGTTCAGGCATGTAATGTAAGATGCAAACAAGAAATTCAAGACTTGGGACAAAACGTTTGTATGGAACGTCTCTGTCATACTGTTTGCTATTATACAGTGAGTTCGACCCAATTGGGACTCCTGAACATAAACTCAACCAAACGGATTGATTCCATATCAGCACCGTAGCTTTATCTACAAATGTTTCACTCGGTACATTGATAAGTGAACCAAAATTGACACCAGCATCAAGCATTACAGAGGCTATGAGTTCATGTTCCTACCAATAAATCCTACCGCATACAGAAACAGCACAAGAAGAAACAATACATATGGTTAGATACTGTCCTTCTGACCAGGTGTAGTGTGTTTTGCATGAAGATTACACGTACTAGTACCAAAAATATGCTTTAGAGCCTAAACTAGCTACAGATATTGGATGCGAACAAGAAATCAGATACTTGAATGGGTTCTGAAAGACTGAAACCAAACCTCCCATGTCGTTTTCTAAAACTGTGCAGCGAGTTAACGAACGAATTCCCTCATTCTTGGGCTCAACATTCACTAATCTGGTTTCTTCAAGTTAAGGCAGTTGTCTGTGGCCTGACCAAATAGCTCAACCACCTGTTTCAGCTCTTTCTCTGCAATCACATTCATCACCAAGATGGATTATATATCCAAAGGCCTTGAAGAAAAATGCTAAGAGGAAAATGCAAGATTGTGGCATGAAAAGACAGCCAAGTCGAGGTGAAACTCACCAGCAGCTTCCAGTTGCTTCTGTAGTTCTTGACCCACAGCATCATTCTCAGCCTAAGAGACAAAATCGAATTGAATGAGCACAAACAACAATTAGGGAAAAAGAAAGGGGCTAAAGAGCAAAGCAGCATTGCAAAACCTGGAGCTCAGCGATCCTTTTCAATTGAGCTTCTTCACCACCCTCTGACAATGGAAGGGCAGTCACCAGAGCATCAAACTAAATCACAAACCCAAAAGTTTCAGCCAGAACCCAACACGAAGAAATGAGTTTCTTTTTCAAACTCGTTGCAGCAAGATAAACAGCATCAACAACATGAAATGAAAAGAATCATTTTACCTGCTTAGCAGCCTTGACGAGTGCAGCGCTCATCTGCTTAGGCTGCTCCGCAATATCCTCCGCAGGGTTGGCCGGCGGAGGCGGTGGCTCGGGGTAATTGGACGACAGGCGCACAGGGGGAGCATCTCTCTGCAGCGTTCCGATCGTGTTGAATGCGAGAGAAGCGAGTGTGTCTACTTGTTCTTGTAATTGGGAGATTATGTCCATCTTTCCGCTTTTCTACTTCTGTTACCAATCGGAAAACCCTAAATTAACGAAACGCAAACATAAACCATTGGAGAGACTCTCAACCGTAATGGAAGCGTATCAGAATCGTAACGTGAGACTCGAATTTCGATTTGAAGCAGGAAGAGAAGCACGAACCTGGAGGATGATAGAGATGGGTTGACGCCACTGCCTGGGTATTGGGTTGCTGTGACTGGATTTCGGCGGGGGAAGAGTTGCCAACTGACGACGACGATCGGATCTGCAGGCGTTTGGTTGGCTGGCGGCTAGTGTTCACGCTGTCACATATGAGCCCAAATTCGAAACTATCTTTGGTTTTCTTGTGAGCTTATTGGGCCTTTTCCACTCTAGCCCACTTCTTGGACGGGTCGTTGACCCGATGTTAAGTCAGCCCAGGACACAAAACTGAATTCGCCAATTGATTAGATTGTCATTTCAACATTTTTCGAATAAAATTTTGGCAAAATAGTGAAATACGTTTCTATAGTTAGCTTACCGATTCGTGGAGCGAGAGCGGGAGTGAGAGCGCGAGAGCGTTTATTTCTCGAGAATTATATTTTGAGAGCGATGAAAAAGCGTGTATATTATATTATTTTTATTTTTTTTAACATAGACAAACGAAAATCGTTCAGTCACATAGTCAGAGTACAGAAAGCAACCACGCACGGAAGTCGACAAGCAGTCAAACTTCCGATGAAAGGGCTTGTTTTGCCACAAGATGGGCGGCCCTGTTAAACCTACGACTAGCATAGGAACAAGAACAGAACTCAAAACTGCAAGCTGCTGTACATCTTCAAGGATAGCTCCTCCCAACGAGTGCCGATGCTCACGAGCCAGCACCCGACGGACCACCAGTTGAGCATCACCATAGAATTTTACATACAGAAAACCATGAGTCAGACACCAATTCATTGCATCTCGCAAGCCTAAAAGTTCCACAAGAAAAGGGTCTTGGATACCCTCATAGTACTTACCGAACGCCAACAACAGGCTTCTGTTCAGATCAAAACCTGCAAATCCTATGTTGCCACCACGCGCACGGTTGATCACTCCATCGACACGGACAGTAATGCCATTTTAGGGAACTCGGACTTCAGCTCCCGGCCGGCAATGCAGTGTTCCCGACGTAGCCACCGCACTTGCCTGTCGTCTCGTGCCGATCTGGGCCTCTCTTTGCAACGACTGAGCAGTCAAGGTAGCAGCCCGCCACTCCTCAACTTGGTTACGATATTGCCTGAGTAATGCGGGAGCTAGGTATTGAATACCTCCATGTACAGCCCAACATCGCGCCTTCCAAATCCGCCAGCACAAGAAAACTATGTCAGAAACCTGCAGCTTAGACAAATGCAAAGAGAAGAAGAGTTCTTTCCAGGCCTCCTCCGGAATAAGAGATTCTAGGCGCAACCGGATCTGCTCAAACCCCGCCATGCGCCATAACTCGCGCACCACCCGACATTGGAAGAATCAGTGAGAAAACGTCTCTGGCCCTTCTGTGCACACCGGGCAGGTGGAGGAATCTACAAGTTTCTTGAATATGAGCACTGTTTGTAGTGGAAGGAAGCACCACACCACTCTCCAAAAGAACACCTTAAGCTTCGGGGGCACCGGCAAGTTCCACAGGAGCTTCCAAAACCTGCAATCAAAAGGTAGAACAAACGGAGGGTGAAGAGCACTCAGTTCATTAGTTAGAACATGGTACCTAGTCTTCACCGAATACTCCCCTGTGGTTGAGTAATGCCAGACCATTCGATCCTTCAACAAATGAATGCCCAAGGGTATGCTGAGGATAGCTTGGACAGATTCCGGTTCAAACAGGCTGTGAAGGAGCTCCGTCTTCCACGTCCTCGACTCGGCACAAATCAGTTCAGCCACCTTCCTTGGGGAAGCTGTCACTCCGTGAAGTAACACATGCGAGGAAGGCGGAGTAGTGGGTAGCCAGACATCTTCTAACACTCGGACTAAGGTTCCTGATCCGATCTGCCAACGCAGACCACGAATGAGTAAGTCCCGCCCTTCCAAGAGCCCTTGACAAGCCTAGGAGGGTCGAGAACCCTTGCCAGCTGCTAGGAACTGAACATGTGGATGATAGTGGGCCTTGTACAGCTGACTTAAGGTGTTGTCCAGGTTCGTGAGGATGCACCATGCATGTTTGGCAAGCAAGGCGACGTTGAAGCGATTGAAATCACGAAATCCCAGGCCCCCTTCAAACTTGCTTTGACAAGCTGCATTCCATGAGAGCCATCTAATGCCATTCTCCTTGTCTTGCCCTGCCCACCAGAATCTTGACAACAGGCTATTGCATCGCCGACAGGTGGCAGCGGGGAGCCAAAAAGCCGACATTGTGTACATCGGACCTGCAGCCCCCACCGCCTTAATAACCACTTCTTTCCTTGTAAGAGACAAAGATTTTGCTTTCCATCTTCGTATTCTAGCCTCCAAGGCCTCCTCCACGAAGAGAAATTTGAGAGTTTTAGAACGATGGACTTGCGACGGAAGCCCAAGATATTTGTCACCTACACCCATCTTAGCAACTCCCAGGAAATCAGTGAGCTCATTAAATTCTAGCTCAGTAACATTACTGCTAACACACATAGAAGACTTGTTCAAATTAACTTTTTGACCACTCATAGTTTCATAATCAGACAACGTATGAAGGAGGTTAGGACACTCCGGACGGGAAGCACGAAGAAATAGATAAGTTTCATCCGCGAAGAGAAGGTGCGAAGTGATGGGCGCCATCCTATGTACACGCAAACCATGTAATGCAGAAGCTGAAATCTCAGAGAGTATCCGAGCAGAGAAGGCTTAAGAATAGAGAGCAAACAACAAAGGGGATGGAGGATCACCTTGGCGGATTCCCCCCTGAGGCTAGAAGTAGTCGTACTCGACGTCGTTCATGAGGACTGAAAAGTGCACTGTGGTTATGCAGGAATGGATCCACATAAGCCAGGTGCGAGAGAATCCCATCGCCTCCAGGAAAGCAAGCAAAAAGTTCCACTCAACATAGTCGTACGCCTTCTCCATGTCAAGCTTGAGTGTCATCCACTTCTCTTTCCCCTGCGATTTCGTTTTAAGGAACTACATAATCTCTTAGGCAATCAAAATGTTATCAGTAATAGATCGATCTTTAACAAATCCATTCTGGTACGAGCTCACAATGTTAGGAAGAATAGAACTTAAGCGGCCAGCAAGGATCTTAGCAATTATTTTATACAAAACCTGACACAGGCTGATGGGCCACATTTGCTTCATTGAATCCGCATGATTCACCTTAGGGATCAAGGCAATCCATGTATGATTGATGCTTTGGAGAAGTCGTCCAGTGTTGAAGAAGGACAGGATTGCCTCGCAAATGTCACCTTCAATCTCAGGCCAAAACCTCTGGTAGAAAGCTCCTGTAAATCCATCCGATCCGGGTGCTTGAGACTTACCAATGGCAAACGCAGCCTTGCGGATCTCCTCGTACGACACCGGCGCTATGAGGAATCTGTTTGCCTCTGCATCGACACCATATGGTAACTGGAGTTGTTCAACATACTCGCTTGGATCATTCCCTAGGGAGGTGAAAAGCACTTTGTAATATTCAACTGCTATCCCACCCTTCTCATCTTCATTGGACTGTAGCACACCTTGCTCATCTTTCAGAGTGAGAATGAAATTTGTTCTTCTCCGTTGCTGTGTAGTAAGATGGAAGAAGTGAGAATTCGCATCCCCGATTCGCAGTCATCGAACCCGGGACTTTTGCTTCCAATAACGCTCTTCTTCCTTAAAAGCCTCCCCTAACTCTACTTCCAACTCTTTAATGTATTCCCATTGCACACTTGGAGCCTCCTTGGCCAAGTCAATGCTCTCCTTAAGTCCCTTAATCTGCCGAGCTGAATTCGACGTTCCCTTGCGAGCCCATTCCACTAACCCGTGCCTCAAGTTTTTTAGCCGAGATTGAAACTTGAATTGCAAAGTTCCCTAACTTCCTTGGACCAAGCCTGCTGGAATATGTCTGGTACTTCCGGATTTGTGTCCCATCTCATGTCATAATGAAATCGTCTCCCGTTGCGGGTTGCTGGTTTCACAAATTGCAACAGCATCATCCTGTGAACGGAGCCAAGGTCCGTTAAATGTCGAACCTGCAAGTCAGGCCACGAAGACAAAACCAAGGGGTTAGCCAAACATCTATCAAGCCGTTCCAAGATATGTCGTGTTCCTGATTGTCGATTGGACCAAGTGAAAGGGACACCAACACACCCCTAATCAGATAAATTTGTCGCAAGCAAGAAGTTATGAAGTTGATCGAATGCAGCCGGGGGAGGTGGACGCCCTCCCTGTTTTTCGGTAGAATTGAGCAAGCAATTGAAGTCTCCCAACACAAACGTAGGCAAATCGCACGACGAGACAAACAAACTGATTTCATTTAATTGATCCTCCCAAATATTTACAGCACAACTAAGGTGGACAAAGACGACAGCAAACCTATCTAGAATTGGATGCAAACATTCAACAATTAGATAAGAGGGATTAGGAGATGACACTGTACAGGTAACCAGGTCCGACTAGGCTACTGCCAAATCTCCCCCTCTATTTCGACCCTGAAAAGCTTGAATGTGTTTAAAACCTAGACTCTTAAGTTGACCCTCAACAAATTCATCATCCCGCTTCGTGTTGCTCAGAAGGATGAGGAAGGGCAGGTTGCGACGGAGGGCATCCCTTAGCGAGGGAATTGTCACGAGGGATCCCAGGCCCCGACAATTCCACGCCAGGACACTCATTTGTCTTTCGGGGACCAATCCGGGCTGGTCACCTCCACCCTCACTGCCCTGCATCAGGGCTGACATTAACCGTGTTCTCAGTACGAGGACGCTTTGCCACTGGTTCAACAAGCTCCGTAAGTTCCCCTTCCTCTCGGATCAACACATCTCTAGCAGGAGGGGGGGCGATGTTCGCCTTGGGGCTCAACTGAGCAGAGCTACCTTCACCGGCAGTGATGGAGAGGTGCTTCATCCGGGCATTCACCACTAACTCTCCCGCTTGATACGATGACGAGCCCCAATTACCAGCAGTTTCCTTCACCTGATCTGAGGAACGAAACCAGGTGAACTTCTTATTCTGAGCCAGCGCCTGCTCGTTCAACCTCGGACCCTTTTCCCGGCTCACTATGAATCTCCCATACCGGGGGGGTCTGATCACCAAGCTCCTTCTTCTTCGGGCAGCGGTGACCAGGGTGGCCAATGATCTCGCAGAGAAAGCAGAATTGCGGTAACCGTTCATATTTCACCTGGGTCTTGAATGCCCCTTTGACTGCAGCTTCATGTTCCGCTGGAATTTCATCAGGCAGAGGGGCGGTTACATCCAACGCAACCTTGACCCGGATGAAGATTTTCCCAGACACCTCAGATTGATGAATAGTTGCTGGTTCGGCCGGACCAAGCGACGCCCCCAGCAAGTACCCCAGCCTCTCTGTGCAACACGCATAGGGAACGCCCCAAACAACCTCGTTTGAACAGTGTTTGAAGTGGTACAGACCGTAATAACAATCATCACCTTCATAGAAGTCATACGCAACCCATTAACTTGTTTTTTCACCATTAACAATCTCTCTTGATTGATCTAGTGGTTAATATTGACTTACAATGCTTCTTAAAAAATGGACTAAAGAAATGATTTGGACCGATTTTGAGAGATAACAAAGTTGGTTCTGACGCGGGGATCTTGGGTGTGGAATAAGATACTCAAAATTTGAGGTTTGGTAGAAGGCAGGTTATGCAAAACTGATCGTGGAGTGGAATGGGAAGGGGAGCTAATGCAGAAGTTCCAAATCAGCAAAGTATGGCATTGTTTTCTACCAAGAAGAGGGCCAGTGCAATGGTCTGGACTGGTTTGGAAAGGAGGTATCCCTAAAAACTCAGTATTAACCTGGCTTGTTCTTCTTGATAAAGTTAATACACTGGATAAAATTAGATGATGGAATCCTGATGTGTGTACTACCTGTCCTCTATGTGGTTGTGTAGAAGAAACAAGAGAACATATATTTTTCTTGTGTGAGTATGTACAGGAAGTGTGGAGCACAGTGTTCCCTAGTTCTTGGCAGCTCCCCTTGTCGAGTTCACTGCATCAGGCAGTGTTGCAGGTGACTCAGAAACTGGGAAAGTACAGAGTTGGCAGGATTTTGTGGTGTTTGGTAGTCAGTGAAGTATGGAGAGAACATTGTTGCATGATATATGGCCAGAAGCAGTTAACAGAAGAAGCTTTGGCTCGGAAGATGCAGGGGATCATGGAAGCAAACACTCAAGGGGACCAGAGCATAGCCAGTTCTCTTGCTGCTCAAATTTTTGGTATATGGGGAGAAGATTGACATAGTTGTAGTATGGATTGCCAAAGTTGCTAATTGTACAGGTTTGATATGTACAAATCGTTGCTTGTATTCCTGATCGTATTTGATGAATAAAACCACCCATTCATTGGGGGGGGGGGGGGGGGGGGGAGTTGGTTTTGACTTTTGATTAACTTATGTGCATGACCAATTATGGAGTTCTTTCATTATGAATTATGACTTTTACAGTATTGTTAATTAACAATAGAATAACGGTAAGGAGTCCAAGTATATCTATATCTAACACGTAAGAATTAACATCTCAATGATCTAAAAATAAAATAAAGGAATTAAAAATGTTGTTTGTGTTTTCTTTTTAAACACAAAATATATTGCGACTCAAGAAAAAATAAGCCAGGCGTGAAGAATAACTCATGTAGTGTGGATCGAATTTAGTTCCTTTCAACAAAAAAATGTGTAAGGCATGAGCTGATAATATAATAAGCCTTCGATAACAAAAGTAAGCCATGTCTCGCCACTCTTAGAAATTTTCGAGCCCAAGCAAAATTCATATTTGGATTTGAAAGGTGTTCAAATTTCTAGTCTATGAGTTTGAGATGTTGGAGGAAACCAAATTACTATTTTAACAAAAGGCAGTACATAAATTGAAGGTAGAATATACAACTTGACATTACCCATTAAAATATTAATTTAGTGGTAGACCCGTAAACCAAATTATTGATTCAACACAATGTATCAAAATCTATGTTATTAAAAGAGTAATGGAGCATTTTATCAAGAGTATTATAATAATACAAACATCACTGGTGTGTTTGTGCAGCGAGTGACAAGAAGATCAAGACTCGTGCGGCTGGCGGGAGGGGGAAGACTTTCTTATGATGGCTTGTTTTTTCCCTCTGCACTTTCCCGGAAAATGATTTTATAGAAGGAAAAATGGGATTTGTTTGGTTGATATTATTTTCTGCGGTGGTTGGTTTCAGATTCGGGAGTGCTGGGGAAGTATCGTTAAATAATAAGAGGAGACTAAACGCGAAATGCTTCGAATTTCATGGTTCATTGAACTTGGATGCTATGTTTTTTTCGGGCTCCGCCTGTGGTTACGTAGGGGATTTTCATTGGATCTACGGAGAACCCTCATCACCGCTTTCGCCACAGGTGGCTTGGGACCCTTTGCTTACGTGGCTGCATCAGCGGGAATTTTGGCAAAGGAAGAGGAGGGTACTTGGATATGGTACAAGTCAAGCCCTAGAAAATGGTCAATTTATGCATTTTAATGTTTTTTCTCCCGAAAAATAAATTTTTCTTTACTAATTTAATTTTGTACAACATTTTAAAAAAGTGCACAAAAAATTGGATTCAACTAATATTGGTTACAAATTCGATTAGAATATCTTTGGTATTGACCGGTATGATCGATTTTCGACATTTAAATAAACCGACACACAATACCTAGGTTAAACACACACAAAGAAAACACCTTTTGTCAAGGCAGATAGAGTAAAAGTATTTTGCTTTCTAACTTCTGCAATTCTGCCACCTGTTTTCCCATTACTTTAATTACATAAGTTCTAAATTCAAAGGTAGATTCTGATGAAAATGATGATCGTGACTCGTGAGCCTTGATTGTTGATGGAGAAGCCAGTGATACTGCAAAGATGAAGGAGAATAGGAGAGCCAGGAACCTTAAGACGAGTACCAAAAGGTGGAGTTGAGGCCCTACAGAGCTCCATCTGGTGGATGGTGGGACAGAAAATGGTGAAGGGGTTGGAAATGAAGACGACGGTCGCTGAGTTACAGAGTTGGGGGGAAACTCGGCTACCATCGTTGATCTACTAACTGCTGCCAATAGGTACCAGTTGATCACCTCTCGTCCCTTCCTGCAACATTAGTTTAACAGAAAGTTGACAGGAAGGCATAAACATTGATAAAATCGTCATCAATGGTTAAGATGTTGATTCAAACCTTCCTCTCATCATTCAAACCTGAAATTGATTGAATAAATCCATTGGAAAATAAGGGGAAGGTGAGATTCTTAGGCCAACACTTTTGTACTAGTAGTCCATCATAGAAACTGCTATGCAATAAACTATGATTCACAAGCAGCAGCCATTAACAAATTTGTAAGAGTTTAACCTTTAACAATAACAGGACTTTATATGGCAGACCGGAAGACTTGTGAGTCAACTAATGTTTAAAAAGATTGCACGATATATTATATGGTTCATATGTGCTTTGATTAAAAAAAGAGCAGAAGCTATCCAACACAGGCATGGACGAACAATTTCAATTTCGTATTAACCACAATTACAAAATCATATAATATAGAGTTCACAATTTTCTACATTTATTGGAAATAAAGAAGAAATGGCTATCATCAACTAGGGAAACAAAAAAAAGAGCTTTTATCTTGCTTTGCAGTTGTTTGTAGCTCTTGCCGTGTGATGTCTAAAGTATACTGCAGTGGAGTTTTGACTTGCAAGTAAAGGTTGCAGGTGCTCAAGGAGCTAGGCTTTCTTTCCCTGGTAACCCCATGGGTTCTTGCTGGCCCAATTCCATTGGTCTCTACACATCTCCTCAATACCATGTTTTGCCCTGGAAAAAAAAATTCCCAAAGTACCTATAAGGACCTCAAGTATAGCTCCAAGAGCCATAAATCAAACGTTGAACTGTTTCTCTACTAGAGTATAACAAGTAGTTAGGTAGCTTAAGATGTCAAAAGAACATACTTCCAGCCGAGCTCTTTTGCAGCTTTGTCAACAGCAGCATAAACAGCTGTAGCATCTCCAGCTCTTCTTGGGCATAGCTTCATTGGGATTTTCTGCAAAAGGTAAAATTTCACACCAAAAGTACTTTAAGCTCGGTCTTTGCTTCACTGTGAGGAAACAGAGGAGCAAAGGTACAGCACTAAGTGGAAGAACCAATCACCTTTCCAGAAGCCTTCTCGAAAGCAGCAACCATTTCAAGTACCGATGTTCCTCGTCCCGTCCCCAAGTTATAGGGAACACAACCTAAAAAGAAAGTGGACACAAGTTTCTTCATCTCAAGATCCGAATCAAATTATTAGAGTTTTGAATGCAAATATGACTGCCTGATGCTCACCTTTGAAATCAGGAGTAAATAGCTTCTTAAGAGCAGCAATGTGACCATCTGCCAAGTCCATAACATGGATGTAGTCCCGTATCTGCCGAAAAAGCAATTCACTAAGCCGAAAAACAATGCTGATCTACATATTCTGATGGGTAAGGTTTTACAAGACGAAAAACTTACCGCTGTACCATCCCGTGTGGGATAATCATGACCATACACATTAAGCTCGGGGAGCCTACCAACAGCCACTTGCTGAATGTAGGGCATAAGATTGTTCGGGATGCCCTTAGGATCTTCACCTATTTTGCCACTTTCATGAGCTGCCACGGGATTGAAGTACCTCAGTAATATGATTTGCCAGTCCGGTTCTGCTTGGGAGATATCTCGAGCAATCTCCTCCAGGAAAAGCTAGACAATTCCAAATCAAAAGAAATAAACTTGAAAGCAGATTTTGCAAAACCCAATTTCACCCTTTGCAATAACATGACTGGTAAAAGTACGAATAGATGAATGCTAACCTTAGTTCTACCATAAGGGTTCATGGCCTTCAACTCGGTGTCTTCCACACAAGGTATTTTCTCAGGTTGGCCATAAACAGTGGAAGATGAGGAGAACACCATCTACTCAATAAAATGATCAACAAAGTTATTTATTTCCTCAGGGGAAATAACTTCTAGGATTCAAGAAGCAGAAGTTAGGCGATGTACCTTCTTACAGTTATACTTCGCCATGACCTCATACAAGTTGATAGTTCCAATTAGATTATTGTCAAAGTAACGTCGAGGATATTCAACACTCTCTCCTACAGCCTTTCTACCCGCAAAATGGATCACACCATCAAATCTGCAAAACATTTGAAAAGATTTGAGAACAAAAGAAGGCACCATTACTGCAATATTCAACATCAGAAATTCAATCTTTGGAATTGTTAAACCTGAAGCATCGAAAACCAACTGAAGCTATTTCAGAAAGCAATTGACTTACTTTGACTTCGCGAACACCTTATCCAGATCGTCCTTGTTTCTGAGATCCACCTGTAAAAAAAAAAAAAAAAAGACCCCACCATAAAAAAAAATTAAAATTCAGCTACAGAGACAACAAAAGAACAACCGAGGGAAAATGAACAAACACCTTGTGCGCACATGCATTACAACTCCATTGGACCATAACCCAGATTTCATTTTTCCGGCGGATTCCAGGGAAACCGAACAAAGGGACGAAAAGGGAAAACAAGAATCAACCATAGAAAGAAAAAAACTCACAAAATGGAACTCGATTTTGGCAGCGAGAGCAGGACCCACGACTTCTTTGACCCTGTCGAGAGCTTCTTCGACGGAGTTATCAAAATTGTCGATGATGGAAACCCTGAAACCTTCTTTGAGCAGCTGGACCACCGTGTGGGTGCCGATGAATCCAGCGCCGCCGGTGACCAGAACCAATTTCCCCTCCATCTTCATTAAGACCCAACACTCAAAACCCCACCAAAAGGATAAAATAAAAGATTGTGTGACGAGAATTCAGCGAACCCAATGAACGAAGATGAAGATAACGGCTTGAGGAGGAGATATAAGAGTGAGGGTGGGAGAAGGAAGCTGACGCAGGCGGTGTGGGGGGATGTGGAAGTGAAAGAGTCGTAAGAGAGTAGGAAAAGAGTCAATTTTTATTTTCGGGTACGGGTTGGGGATTTTGTGGGGGTGGAAACCACTATGAAAGAATCCATTACTGATTCGCTTCTCGAAGAAATCAAGAGAGACGACGAGGTGGTTTGGATTTTGTACAGTGAGAGGTCTCGGGTAAAATCTCGGCTGCTATTTTGGCGCGATTTTCAGTTTTCACTCTTTATTTTCTCGGTTTTCTTTTTCTTCTTAAGTTCTTCTTGATCAATTGGTCTCCTGCCAGCGCCCGTTTCTTACAAAAAAATATAAAAAAATTGGTCTCCTCCTGCCAGCGCAGCGGGAGCTAATCAAGATTTCTTGAAATTTTGTGAGAACATAAAATGATGAGCTAATTATATATTGAAAATTTATCTAAATATGGACCAACAGATTTCGGGTTGTCTTTATCTAATCTATACCATTATTATATGGAGGTTGGCCTCCATTAACCCATTAATCTCCGTTTCCCTGGCTCCTGCGCAGAGAACTGAGGGCCAATTAAGTAATAACAGTAATTTAATTCACATGGGCATTAAGGGGAGCACGAATATGGACTTTAATTTGTGAGCCCATAATTCCACGTGATACTGATACCACAAATTTTCCAGTTTCAGGAATGATGCGAGAATTTCATTTAGTAGTTTAACTAAATAAGGCTAAATTGCAATATTGGTCACTTGAATTACTAGCAAAATTCACGTTAGCCACTAGAATTACTTTATTCCATTCGTAGTCACTTAGATTAGGTTAACAGTTCAAGTTTGGTCACTGGCCGTTAGTCTCCATTAACTTTTGCTGATGTGACAGTCAACTCTTATAGTTAACCGTTAAATGAGTGATGTGGCAATTAAAAAATTAATAAAATAATAAAATTAAATTCTTAATAATTTCCACCTCATTGTTACAATAAATTAAAAAATAATTAAAACAAAAAAATAATTAAAAAATAATTTCCACCCTCCCGTCAACTATATCTTTGACCCTCTCACTCCTCTAATTCCGACGACCAGAAAATAGAAAGAAAAAAATTTCCCCCCATCCCGAATCCAACCAATTCCCCCATCTCTTATTCACCCCGCCAGAGCTATCACTTTCACCGGAGCAAAGCTCAAAATAAGAGCAGAGCACAAATAGAGGGGGGGGGGGGGAATGGACCGAATGGTGACCGACATACTTCTCCAAGTCCTCGAGATTGGCGTCACGGTCTTCATGTTCCTCTACTCCCACAGCATCCCCCAGAAGATCTACGCCAAGCTCCGCCAGCGCGCCCTTGCGCCGACGCCGAGGCCAATCGCCAGTTCGTCCGCGGCGCCCAGCTCCTCTCCCAGGCCAGGCGGAGCTCCGTTTCCGCCACCCGCTCAACCCTAGCCAAGCAAGCCGAGGAGCAAGCCGACAAGGCGATCGCCTACGATCCGCGCGACGCCGCCGCTCACATCCTCAAGGGCCTCGCACTCCAAATCTTGTCCAAGCTGCCGACACCCTCCGCCGGTCTGCCGAAGCCGCTGCGTCAGCAAATCGTGGCGGCGCATCCTTTCCGACCCCGAAATCATCAAGAAATCCATCCTGTCGCCGCCGCCATACGCAGCCAGGGTCATGATTGCCCACTCCGCTTCGTACACCGTCCGCTCCTCCGACATTTGGTTGAGAAGATAGGTTGGGTCTTGTTCTTCTGAATCGGCCACCGACTGTGGGTTTCAAATTTGAAGACAGAAGGGAAAAGGGAGAGTGTTGACGGCGGAGGTTGGCGGGGATGGCGGTGGATGATGGGGTGAGTGGAAGAGAAGCCGATGGCGTTGTTTGTGATTTTTTTATTTTAATTATTTTTTAATTTATTGTAATAATGAGATGGAAATTATTAAAAATTATTTTTTATTAATTTTTTAATTGCCACGTCACTCATTTAACGGTCAACTATAAGAGTTGACCGCCACATCAGCAAAAGTTAACGGAGACTAACGGCCAGTGACCAAACTTGAACTGTTAACCTAATTTAAGTGACTACAAATGGAATAAAGTAATTCTAGTGGCTAACGTGAATTTTGCTAGTAATTCAAGTGACCAATCTTGCAATTTAGCCAATTAAATAATATACCATGCATATAATGTTTTTAATTTCACGAACCAATGTATTAAAGCATACATGATCCAAATTCACATGTCGAGAAACTGTTTGAAAATTGGATATTGATATATTGAATTATTGATCAAATAGAATTCTAAAATATTACCAACTAAGAGAAATAGATTGTTGAGTACGTCGAGACTCTCTGGATGAGACTTGACTCAATTTTCTAGGTGGTCGATTTTATGAACATTTATATATTGCGTGCCATTATTACAACAACTGGGCAAACAAACGAAGGGAGAACAAAAAGAAAGAAAGATCACTCATCACTCACTGAAGGTTTAGACTAAATATTTTTTTGAAGGTTACTCTTCTGTAGTTCTATGCCTCGAAGAAATACTTCACGTGGAGAGTCATCCAAACAATCAAATAATGCTTCAATTCGTTTGTTAAAAATTGAATGCGATTACAAATGTTTTTATTAGCATAATTATGTACTTCTTACAATTTCATGTGTGTCCATGTCATGCGTTATTCTGTTCAGGGGAAAAGGATAGCTATTTTCATACCACTAGAAGGTGGGTGGATTCTAATCAGTCTTTATTTAAAGTGCAGAATAAATTTTCTTATGGTATGAATATCGATGAATTATCAATTGATTGTAATCTCTCTAACTATTTCACACTTGCTTAATCTTACATTACTACCACTATCCATTTTACATTTTCAGAAATTGGTTGCACATAAGTCAAAGTTGGAAAGAATTTATCAACCATGGACCAAATTAGCAAGAAGGAAACATGCTCTTTATATAAGGCAAAAACGTATGTATGAAAAAATTGTTAACCTTCCTACTGATGATCCATTATTTTTAATATTTGTTTTCGATTTATATGCTATCAAATTATGTGTTAGATGGTATGATTGCTTATTTCAATGATTCCCATACATGACTTCAAAATGAGATGAATAACTTGCCAACTAAGAGAAATAGATTGTTGATGTCCATCATACTTGCCGAAAATCGGTATAATTGTCTTCGGGTGATGTGATCTGGATACTTTCCAGGCTTATGAATATTTTAATTATTTCATTTTTCTTCATTTATTATAGTGTTGGGATTTTTTTCAAATGTATCTCTTATATTGGAGTTTTAATTTTATTGCAGTTGTTGAAGTGTTTTATATTGGAACACCATCATATAAATATGAATCTTGTGGAGCAATGATGTGGAAGGGTGAAAGTGTCAAACCCACAAGGAATTCCGGACTTTTTCCAGAAATACCACTGTTTAAAAAAAGAATTCCAAAAATACCACCCAATCCCAAAAAATTCCAAAAATACCACCTTTTTCAAAAACCGCCACCCCATCCTGCGGTTTACACGAAAACCGCTTGTTGGGGGTGCGGTTTTTTATGCAAACCGCGGGCCTAGGGGGCGGTTATAAAAAAAAAAATTGGACCAAACCGCCGGGTGGGGTGGCGGTTTGACCCAAAACCGCCACCCCACCCAGCGGTTTGGTCCAATTTTTTTTTCTTTTTTCGATCAACTCCTAATTTCCGCCAAAACTTTAAACGAACGTAACTTTGCACTCGGGTATCCGATCATAGCGATTGTTTTTTTCATTTCGCATAACTTTTCAAGATCTACAACTTTTACTAGGATAAAATTTTCAAAACAGGAACTATTTGTGGATATACGAGACCTTGAGAAGGGAGCTGATGTTTTAATTAACAAAAATGGCTTGGAGGGACTATATTCAAATAAATCAACCTCCAATTAAAAGGTGGAGAACATCATTTTATTTCTTTCACTGTCTGCTTGGAAATATACGGGGTTTAGTATTTCTAATATTGGTATTTAGTGGGGAACTTTGCTTCCTTTTGCACTAACTTGAAATTAATTATATCATGCTACAAATTTATCTACAACATATATTTATCACTTATGCTTCGATAAAAACACCCCATACATTGTACTTTTGAAGGTAAATGTTCTAAATTCATAATGGTAATGCTAAGAACAAGGATGACACAGCTAATGGTGGAGGAAATAGATCCAGTGGTAGAGATGATGATGATTGATGGTAAAAAGAATAATGACATTGTTTATGAGGAAGATATAAAGACTGATGATGTGGAGAGAACAAATCCAGAATATTGTTCGTTAACTTGGTTGAGGTAAATTCTACTTCAAAGAAAAATATGATTTGTATTTGCAAAAACACTTTACCATCAAAATTTTGTGCTCAATGAAATGCAGGAAAATAAGGAAGCGATAACTGAAATGCAAGAGAAGAAGGAAGAGTTAAATGATGAAGATAAATGTGTAGCTAATAGAGATGAATACATTATTAATGGCGACGATGAGATTGTTGCTCATGTAGAAGGAAATGCAAACAAGCCAAAAAGAAAACATGCAACAATCTGACGACGTGGAGTAATTAGAAAGGTAATTTTAATTGGTATTTAAGAGTTGGTTCCCTTGCATGAGATTTTTCTTTCATTATCCTAAAAGGATTTTAGTCAATTAGTCAATAAAATATCGGCAAACAATATAATGTTGATCATTTTGAATTATTGAACTATTTTAATAATTTGCATTCTCTTATTATCCCAATCGATTCGAATGTTCAAAGAATTTGAAGAACTTAGATTTACTAATGTGTAACTGGAATATAAATTGCTATTGTTATTTACGTGATTGAAAAACCGAATCCGGCCGATTGGCCGGGCCGGGCCCGTGACTAGTGATAAAAAAAAACTTTCTAGTTCTCATTATTCAAATTTGTTTTATGTTTTAGTATTGCAACAATAACATATAACATTTTTAACAAGTTATAGAAAAAACAAATGTTTATACGAGATGCAAAGTCATCACAATCACCCACATACAACAGTCTAATTATCTATTGAGCATAAATAGAAGTTTTAACACGACATCTATGCTAACTTCGTTCAGTAAAATAACCAAGTTCGTCAACAAAATGTTGTGATGTTGTTGATCAAATCTTGTCTAAAACAATTAAACCTATACTTTGAATATAGGGATAAGGATGATCTTCTCTTTTGCATCATCGTGATCTAAATGTGAACGGTTAGGTTAATTTGGTTGACTTGCTCTTTTCCTTTGCCAATTAGAAAATTATTCAAATTTGCTAATTCGGCAGGTTTTCATATATTATCGCTTTGTTATCTTATCATGTCTTCCACTTGGAAGTACGGGTGAAAAAGCAACCCCGTGAGTTAGTTTAGTGTTGGGTGTGTAATTCTTGGTTATGTATTTGTTCATCGTCAAATTAATACTTTAATTTTGAGAATGTCAGATTTAAGAGTTGAGATTAAAAGGTTTGTATTCTAATTATTTCTTAAATGACTTGTAAATATTTTTTTAACTTGGATGTTGAATTTAATTACTAATGAAATTAGTTTATTGTTATCTACAAAATTATATGTATTATCAATATATATAAAAATTTTACTATGCTACGACTCTGTACCATCTTCGTTTTTAACTCAAATTTGAAATTTGTTGCGTAGAAGGGATGGGTTTCTCGTGAACTATTGTGATCTACAAATTTCTGTAAAAAAACTTTCGAAAACAATATATACATCTTATAGTAGACCATTTTTAAAGATTGTAAATGATGACTAGTATATTCTTAGTTTCTTACTGTCATGTACACAACATTTCTACTCTATGGTAAATTCGTACCATCGTGATAGAATATTACGTACTACAACTCTACAAGTCATAACCAACATGCTATAGAATGGTATTATATGACTTAAAATTTATGTTCAAAATATATCAAAGTGGATGTCATTTCGAAGAATTTTTTTTGTGTGAAATCGGACTTAAAACGAAAGCGACAAAATCCTTTAAATTTGGTTGACGTTTTATGAGAATCAAGATTGTCTTCAGTGCGTTGACCAAATTATTATGCATTCAAACTTGTAACATAATTTTATGCTTGATATTTTTTGGTAGAGTTCAAATTTTTTACCATTTGAACTTAACATCGAGAATCAAGCGTCTTTATTGTGATCGTTGATGTATTGATGTTCTTTAGATTTCTAGTCCTCACATTAAAATTTAGGGTAATGTCTATTTTTTATTCAAACCTTTTCAGATTCTTTTACATTACCAATCCTATTAAAATTCTATTAATTAGCCAAATCTCTTGTAATGCATCAAAATATTAGTCATTTTTACGTTATCGTTAATAATTTTGTAACTCTTTTCTTGGGTAAATACGAAAATTTTGGAATATTGACCTTCATGTGTCTTTTCCAAGTCAGTATCATATTGTCAAGTCAATATTACTAACATAATTGCTAAATGAAAGCTACCATTTGACTAATTCTTAGTATTTCGATAGGTTTGGATAATATAAAAGAATCTAAAAGAAATTTAGATAAAAAAGTAGACATTACCCTAAAATTTATTATAATTTAGTTTGCTTTAGTCGGGATTTTTAAAATTTTGACTGTAGGTTATGTTTAACCTTCAATGTAAACATTAATAGTTGATATATTTCTTCTTTTGTCAAAAAGAGAAACATTAGAGACAACAAGGGAAAGGAAACATTCGGCTCATACATCCTTATGCAACACACAAGCAAAGCCAAATGGTTTAGATCTTAGAGACAAACTAGGTGTAAGTTTTACCCTAAAACCCCA